CGGCCGCGTCCCGCCCGCGCGCCCTGCCTCCAGCACCCAGTTGCACAACAGGGTGGGTAGCAGGGGTGGCTGGTGGGCAGGCAGCCTGCTGAGCCGTCTAGGCAGGCTGTTGATACCGAGGACATAGCAGGGGCGACTGTGGCAGAGATTATCTTCCCTGGAGCTGCTGCCTGTTTTTCTTTTGTAACCCACCAAGGTGGAGTGGGAGGCACAACTGCCAGGCACAAAACAAGCTGAATCCTTGGCTTCGTTCTGCACGTTGCTGCTCATTAGCTGGAGGCTACTGTCACGGCAGCTTAGCCGCTTAGGACTGCTTGTGCGCTCTCTGCATGAGCTGCCTGGAACCGCAGCAGTCCATGAAGCTCTAGCATAATCCCTCCTGCAGCTTTGCTGCAGGATCACTGACGATCGTGAGCAGTTCATGGGGGTGTAACGTAAATGACTACCACCAGATCCATGAGGAGATGGCCAACTGTACTCTTAAGTCCCTTCTCTCCTCAGGTGCTGATTCCCCTCTTCACAGGGCAGCCATTGCCCTCCGAGAAGCTCCAGGAGGTTATGGAGGGGCTGTCCACTTCCCTGAAGCAATTTGAAGAGAGGTTTCTGCAGGACAAGGCTTTTATCATTGGGAGAGAGATCTCTCTGGCGGATCTTGTGGCCATTGTGGAGCTGATGCAAGTGAGTGCTGGCGCGTGGTAAGGAAGTCTCGGCGCAAGGGAAAACGGATGCTGCTGGGCAGAGGGGTGCAGCATGTGGTAGCACTTCTCCAGGCAGAGGAGCGAGGGCATATCTCAACAGAACTGGCCTAAGACAATGAGGAGAATAGGGGAGTGGGTTCAGAAAAGCAGTTTAAAAAAAAAAAAGCTGGCTGCAACAGATCTCTCTTGTTTCTCTTCTCTAACAGTGCTGCTGCTTCTCCTTCATCCTTTATCGTGACTTTATTTTTAATCTCCAGAGAAGGAGGTAATATATAAAAATGAGAAGCAATAGCAGACAGGTCTGGTGAAATAAGAAAATGATACAGGGGTATTTTCATCATACAAGAATATTCTTCAGACGGTACTTGCCCATGCCATGTCTGGAAGGTGCAAGACTGAACCTCAGACAGAGGCAATGGAATTAAGTCTGTTACAAACGGATTGTTCTCTGCCGGACCGTCAGGGCCTGGATCCTGCAGCCCAGAAGTGATTCTTTCTCTCAGTTCTGTATCCCAGAGACTGAAAAACAGCAGTTCTGCTTCTCTACAGCGTTGTGTTCCAGAGAGTGGCACAGGCAGAAAGTAGAAGGGGGGCAGATGATGGCAGCTAAGACATCAGTTCAATTAAACGCTTAGCGTTTTGTGCCGTGGTTTTGCTGTATAACGTAGCACTCCATACTGCAGACTGCGCAGTTGTCCCTGGAATTGTCAGCCCACCTTGACTTCAATGCTGTCGCTGAGAATCACCCGCAATAAGCAGTAGTCATCTCTGCTGCTGACAACAGCTGTTCCGGCACTCAGGAACTGCCTTGTAAATGCCCTTTGAAATATAGGCTAGCTTCTGTGTCCCTCAGATAGATACGCCTGACGAAAAGAGACTTCCCTCCTTCCTCGTGCTCCTCTGCGAGCTCTTCCTCATTTTTTCCCTCTACCTGTACCTGCAGGTACGCTTTTGGTGCCTGTTTCGGTGAAGACGTGACTGCCCCGTGCCTCACTGTTGCTCTCTCCCCCTTTCTGCAGCCTGTTGGAGTTGGTTGCGACATCTTTGAAGACAGGCCAAGGCTGATGGAGTGGCGCAGGCGGGTGGAGGATGCTGTGGGGAAAGAGCTTTTCTTCCAAGCCCATGAGATGATCCTCAATATTAAAGAACTGAGCAACATTCAAATTGATCCACAGCTGAAAGAGCACCTGGCACCTGTGTTGATGAAGATGTTGAAATGAATTAACCTATCTTACCATTTTTCCTGCCCTTTTTTTTTTTTTTTTAACTAATTCTCTGACCTCCAGTTCTACATGTAACTGGAAAGAGCACTGTAATTCTAACACAGAAATTGCAGAGTGTTTCCCCCCCACCCAGGCCTTTCCCATATCTTTGGGGGTGGAAGCTGGGGAAGGTTTAAGACCTGAAACATTACATTTACACAAAAGGCCCTACAGGTCACTTAACATGTGCATCTGGGTTTTATTTCAGTGTCGGTCTTCTCAGAGATGGTAGAGGCACGAACGGTATTTCCTGACAAAATTTGAGCCAGCCTGCAAACTGGGAACGTGAGAGACCTGTAGAGGATGAGCACTGTTTTCACGTGTTTTTAACATTTGCAGCTCCTTCTCAAGCGCTGCAAAGCGTGCCTGATCCTCACCTTCCCAGCATGTGTCTGCACAGACAAGTACAGCACAAAATTACAGGCAGTCACAAAAGTGAAAAAGACATTGATTTTTTTTTTTTTTTATTTTAAAGTTTCTTATTGCTGAGGCAACTTGCTTGGCTGTCCACGTACATTCCACACTTCTATTTGCCTTTAGGTTCCTGTGAGAACTATGAGGTTTCTTCATATTCATCTACAACTGTGAATCTTCATAATTCTTCAGTTTAATTGCTACTCTTCATTTCCGAGAAACTGGGTTTCGTTGGCGCTCGGTCTGCCAGTACACACGTGGCAGGGGCTCTTCTCGGAGATTCGTGCGGTAAAGACCAAGCAACTTCAAAAAGCCGAGGGTGGCCACAGCCTTCGAATAACTGCCTACCTGAAGTACTCTGTTGATGTTATACAGGGAATACACTGAAAGAATGCATTCGCGGTGATTTCTTGAAATATGACGGCAATCAAATTGTTTTTTTTCTGCAGTAATACTGTAATAGCAATCCACATTTCTCCTAGAAAATGCAGAGGGGGAGTAAATCTAGATGTGCTCTTCTGAGACTGTTTTGGATGGAAGTTCACCAAGAAGTCACCCTGTGCAGCTGAAGTAGTAAGAGATTTTGTGGCATTGAGCAACATATGCATCACAATAAAAGGGCAGAGAGTTGGTTTGGAGCTTTGGGGCTCTTTTTCTTGTCTGTGTTTATTTCTGATTAGCTATAGCTCAAATACCACCCCCTTTTGTACTGCAACACAATTTATGGGGTAAAACAGAGAGAATACAACCATTTCTAGTTTCTTCAGTTGAAAATAACAAATTGTAAAGGATGCAGAAACTGGTGGAATATCTCTCTCTGCATATTTCTGTTCAGAAGTAGTTGTTGCCCTTGAACCTTACCCTGAAATGCTTGCCCAAGAACGCTTCTTGTAAGGAATACGACAAAATGAGTAAATAATGGAGGAATGGCTTCTCTCGCCAATCAAATAGCTTCTTTTCTTTCCAGTACTACCATGTCTTGGCTAGTGACGTTGCTGCTGGTAAGTTCTATGACACCTGGTGTGTTCTGGTGATGTTTTTCACTAAGGTTTCAGTTCTAGATACTACTGATATAGTCCAGAGCCTAGGGAGACCTTTAAATTCCCGGTCTGGAAAGAGATTTCCATTGTATACGTCAGCTTGCATTAGCAGGCAGTTTTGTTTGTGATGATGTTCTCTATAAAGACGAGCTCTGACTGAAGGCCCTTTCTTTTCATGAACCAGAAATATTAGAAACAGGCACACGTTTATTCCCACCCTTCCTTTTCTTTCCAAACAGTAGCTGAATAATATGTTTATTGATGTTTTATTCACATAATATTGTCTACAACTGAGTTAAATTTTAAATGGGAAGTGGTTGATTTTTTTGGTAATTTTGAGAGTGGAATTGCTAAGTGGATGATGACATGTGTAAATATCTGCAGGAGGGAAAAAAACTACCATGATTTTCCAAAGGCTGAGCATGTTTGAGAGTACTTGCTGCTGTGCTGTCCTCTCTTGGTTGTATGTTCATCCCCCTACAAGCATTTTAATCACCCGTTCCAAGACAGAAACAATAAAACAAGTGTCTTCAGTTTAAAAACTCTGGGAGGCCGTGAGCAATCTGCCGTTCACATGGTGAACCATCAAGGGCGAAGGACAACGCATATCATAAAAGAAGTTTGTGACAGCCCCATGTCCTGGTATAGTTGCTTGATACTTGAATCTTCTCTTTTTGTTCTGGAGGCCTTCTCATATGCTGGTTCCTTGTCATGTGGGAGGTTTTGGCCTTGGAATTGGAAGAGATTTAGTATTTGAAGGAATGAGAGAGAAATAGAAAAATGGATCCTGAATGGCACCTTACCTGGAGGCAATGACTCCCAGCAACCAGGCAGCGGTGGGCTTGCACCCAGGGTTTGCAAGGTGGCTGAGTATCCCCCCGCCTTCATTTTGGTGACAAACTCAGGATCTTCTATTTACAAGACTCTATCTTTCTGTAAATTCACCCGGGAATCTAACAGTTTTCCTGGGTTATTTCTTCTGCTGCTTTCCTGGATTTGAAGGGAGCGTTTGTATTACCTCTTACCACCACAAGCAGCCACCCCCTGCCAGCCTGCTGCGCCCCGTCCCCTCTCTGGTTGGGTCTCTCTCTTCACAATCTCTCTCCTAGAAATATTTTTCCAGCCTTATTGCTGGCTGGTTTATGCACACTGCTCCTCGTGCCGGTATTGTCTTCATTAGCAGCAGTGAAGGCCAAGCAATTCCCCCAGCAAAAAAATGAGCAATTCCATCAGTTTTCATTAGGATTGTCTAGAACTGTAGAAACCGCAAAGTCACATTGTACAGGGCCAGTTTTCACAACAGTGCTGTGCCTTAAACAAGATGACCTTTTAATCTAGCTGTTTCATAACGTTTTGCTGTAAATGAGCACATGTAACCCTTGCTGGACGGGTTTCTCAGAAGCTCAGCTTCTGAGAAACCTGATCTCTAGATTAGACTGTCCCTGTGAGCCAGCCTGCTGGGGGCACTTTTATCAACTTTGGAGCTCAAAGTGCTGATTGCAGAAGCTAGTTTGGTAACTATATATATTGCATAAAAAAAATAAACCTCTCTGCTTGCCTTCTCACTTCTCGTAGTGCTCGTTGTTCTGAGAAATCACTGCTCTTCCATTCCTAACCCTCCCTGCACAGCCGGGTGTGGAGGTGCCCGTTGCGGTGACCAGAAGCGTCTTCCCACCGGCAGTAAGGACCATCACAAGACTCGTTTCACCCATCCGTCAGCGAGATGTAGTTTTTGTGCTCTCTCAGTCTCTAATACGTTGCCAGCGATGCACACCGTAAAAAGCAAAAGGCCCAAAAGCCAGCTGATGCAACTGGGGTGAAACAGCGAAGAGCCAAAGCCCGGCCCGGGGCTGACAGGGCAGGAAGCAATCCGTGCGGCTGCAGGCCGCCCCGGGAGCCGCGGGGAG